GATGTAGACAGATTGACGTGCCACGTGGCACCTTGAGGAGGAACTTCAGACATTGTATTCAGTCTATTGATTGATGAGGTGGCGAGGAGGAGGAGGAAYCCGAAGTAGAAGTGGGCTGTTGTCTTCTTCTCTCTCCTTTGTCTATTCTCCCTCTCTCCTMCTKYRTCTRTGTATGATTCTCACCTCATTCTATCATCACACATATTACGATTGTTTGTCATTTCATCAGCAGATCGATAATCATAGGGACTGGTAATGTTGACGAGTATCATCACGTCTGGGCTCATTGCATTGCGGTTCTGTTTGACGATGTATATATATATTCTGTTTGACAATATATATCGTCAAACAGAGCTGCCCGGTAAACCGAGGCGGGGAGGGAGAAGAGGACAACAAACGAGGGGCTATATATTGTCACATAACTATGAACTAAAGAGCGCACTTTGCGAAGCAAACGGCAAAAATAAAAAAAATAAAAAAACAAAACAAACATGAAGGGCACACTGAAACCATTCATTTTTCTCATTCTTCTTTTAACTCCCCCTTCACCATGCCTCTCACGTACAAGGCTCGCCACGTTGATGAAGTTGAGCACGAGCTGCCCCCATCCCCGTGTACCATAACGGCCCACTTGTACGCTGTCAGAAAGAGGCAGAGTGAAGGGGGAGGGGATAAACACAGGGAGGAGAGATAAAGAGAACCGACAAACAAAGAACGATAAAGGGAAAGCAAGGGAAAGTAAGGGAAAGTAAGGGAAAGTAAGGGAAAGTATGTAGTGTGGAGTGAAGATGAAGGCAAAAGAGGATAAGAAAAGGCTCAAGAGTCAAGAATGAGTTTGTCCTTGACGACAGAGAGGACACACATTGTAAGGATGAGGTGGATGAACACATGGAAGACCTAGCTGAGCATTCTCAGTGCAACAATTGCCACAACGGCTATTGAGCATGCCCACCATACACCCCCGACAAATGGCATGTCGATTGCAGGCCAAAATGAAGGAAGAACGGTTATATACCGTCAAACAGAGCTGTCCCGTAAACCGTAGGCAGAGAGGGAGAAGAGGACAACAAACGAGGGGCTGTGACAAACTGTTTCGTCGGAGTTTCACCGATTCATCAGGAGGCTGAACCTTCAACAGTCTGCAGAATCCCCTAACTGATTACACTGTAAGTGATAATCCACCTTAACCCCGGTTGTAGTTAAGCATCAACGACTGCCCGACAACTGATACCTTGAGGTGGGCACCAACCACTTCCTTCAAGGTACCCGTGACGAAAATCAAAGCAGACTATCACTCACCCACATATATATTGTCACATAACTACGAACTAAAAGAGCGCAATTTGCGAAACAAACGGCAGAAATAAGAAGGAAAAAAAAAAACAAGACAAACATGAAGGGCACAGTGAAACCATTCATTTTACTCATTCTTCTTTTGACTCCCCTTTCACTGTGCCTCTCACGTACAAGGCTCGCCACATTGATGAAGTTGAGCGCGAGCTGCCCCCATCCCCGTGTGCCATAACAGCCCACTTGTACGCTGTGAGAAAGAGGCAGAGTGAAGGGGGAGGGGATAAACACAGGGAGGAGAGATGGAGAGCAGACAAACAAAGAACGATAAAGGGAAAGTAAGGGAAAGTATGGAGTGCGGAGTGCAGCTGAAGGCAAAAGAGGATAAGAAAAGGCTCAAGAATGAGTCTGTCCTTGACGACAGAGAGGACATAGAATGTAAGGATTACGTGGATAAACACACGGAAGACCTAGCTGAGCATTCTCAGTGCAACAATTGCCACGACGGGTGGCATTGAGCATGCCCGCCATACACCCCCGACAAATGGCATGTCGATTGCAGGCCAAAATGAAAGAAGAATGGTCACCACAAAAGAGCATGCATTCAGTATAGCGCCCATGGCCGCAAAATGGACATATAGTGTCCGGATGCGGAGGGTGCCTGCAGTGAGAAACGGTGGGACAGTCCTCTGCACACATGGATGCAGAAACCATGTCATTGTAGTGATTGTGACCGAGACGTAACAGTGTTTGTGGTTGCCTGCAGTCAGGAACGGTGGGACAGTCCTCTACACACATGGATGTAGAAACCATGTTATTGTAGTGATTGTGACAGAGACGATGGCGGCTACAGCCGAGTGTAACAGTGTTTGTGGTTGTGCAAAGGAGAAGGTCTCAGAGTGTTGGTGCATTGTCTTGCTGCAGCACAGGGCCAGAGGAATGATCTTCCACATAAAAGAGATTGCGGACGGTTTGTTGTGGCAAGAAAACAACATCATTTTGTAAGAAATCAGTGATATCAATCATGGCATGGACCATGGTGCGGTTGTCCCACAGCTCCCAGTGGTCAGAGGCATGTGCACAATGCAGGCAGAGATGTGGGATGGAGGATTCAACCACTCACGTGCTCGAGCATTGCGTAGTTCAAGTTGACGGTCCCTCATTGCTACTTGTAGGACAACAATGGTAAACCCTCCTTCGCTGGTATAATTACAATCCTCTGGCTGTCGTTGGGGAAGATCAGCATCAAGCTGAAGGGCGATTGCAAGGAAGTCTGATGGTGTATAAAACGGGCGATGGAGAATGTGAAGACAGATATTAGTTGTTGTCAGACCACAGAGATTGGTGAGGTTCTCAGGCTGGGTTGTGGGATGCTGGCCAACAATTTGCAGATCACCCAGATGGTGTTGCAAGCCCGAACTGTGTTGGGCTGTTTGCTGGTCAGTCATTTGCAGATCACCCATGTGGTCTGCGTGTGGTGGAGCACAAAATTGTGGTTCATCCGAACAATGCCGGTCAGCCATTTGCAGATCCCCCATGTGGTCTACGCCTTGTGGGGTCAACTGCAATCCGGGCAGATCATGTTTCAATCCCTCAACGTTTAGGGCTGCATCGTGAGTACGGACAGTACCTGGAGTCGAGAGTGTACTCTGGGCAGCGGCTGCATCCTAAGTAGGGATTGGTGGCTGCCTGCAGGCAGCTGGACTGTCTGCAGGAGGCATAGGAGCGGATATTGTCATTTGCAACAAAGGAACCGCAACAACCTATTGAGGAGGCACAGAGAGAATCGGGGCAGACAAAGAAACAGGTTGTTGACCCCCGGACAAGTGACGATGTCGCGGATGTCGTCGGTGATACACAACAAGAGGAGTAGTGGTGTTTCAAACAGCAGCTGAACTTGTACCTGGCAACGCAGGTGGAACAATGGGAACAATGGAAACTGGAGAGTCTGTTCGCAAGCGAGACCGTGGAGGAGATGGGGGTGGTGACGAGAAACGCAGTCGTCTACGGCCAAGCACAAACAAAGATGAGAAGGGGGTGCATTGGGCAAGATTTCATAGCAAAGGACGTGAGCATCGGAGAGATTGTGATGTTCTTTGCATTGGAGCTGCAAGACAGGAAGCTGTAGCAGTAAAAACTAAAGTAAGGGGAATTACAGTTAGGGAAACAAGTCTACTAAAAACTGCAGCAGTGGAAACCGTAGCAGTAGAAACTGCAGCAGTGGAAACTGGAGCAGTGGAAACTGCAGTAGTGGACACTGCAGCAGTGGAAACCGCAACAGTGGACACTGCAGCAGTGGAAACCGCAACAGTGGACACTGCAGGAGTGGAGACTCCAGCAGTGGAGACTGCGGCAGTGGAAACTGCGGTATCAGCAGATGAGTAAGAAAGGGCAGGACAAGAGCATCGTGGGGGCGAAGAAGAAATTGGATGATACAAGGACCATCGCAACATGCGTCGGAACCACTGAGAGAGACGCGTCACATGTGTAGGATAGCGACGTTGGCGGGAGCGCATGTAGCACATTCATCCCTTAGCAAGGGTTGGTGGGAAATGCCCACTCGAAAGCATACGACAAGTAAGTGTTGTTGCCGCAATTCGAAAGTCCGGCCAATTGTTACAGATTTGTTCAAATCTGGTCAATTGCCTAGTGAACACACCAGTCGGTTGATGGGAAGGGATGTCGAGGGTCGCACTTGTATACAGAATGACAGGGAAGTCCCAAGCAGCCGCTTTATCAAAGACGCTCATGCGAAGCGAGCCATCGGAACAGACCCGTAGTTGCATACCTAAAAAGGTACAGGAGCCATCTGTAGTTGTCGTCTCCTTCCACTCAAGCCCATAGTGTTCTRRTGGAGGAGGTAATTGYCCCCATGAAAGAACATCATCAATGAGGCGATAGGTGAAGGCATATTGTTGAGCAGCTTGAAGATCATGTTGACAAATGTCATCAATAAAGCGTGCTTCATCCTAATACAGCGCCAGATTCGAAATTTTTGGGCCAGCATTCGTTCCCATTGGAATACCTATAATTTGTTTCCAAAGCGTGCCATCGCTCGTGTATAGCAAAGTGTTCTGTACAACAAAACGAAAATGTTGGAGAATCTGAGAAACAAAAAGGGTATCCGGTCCTGAATCAATTGTCCATTGGCCACAACTAGGTCCTTGAATAACCATGTTGAGGGCAACGCAGCGTGAATGTGTGCGAACTTGCCGAAGGGCATAAGCATGAGCTTCATCAACAACTTTTGCCACATTATTCAGAATGAGGTCATGAGGAAGGTTGGTGTACATTGTGGTAAAATCAACAATGCGAGGAGAGAGGTCACAAAGAGACGATGCATTGTTTTTCAGGTCAATCGCCACTTCATCGGCACTATGAAAGATCCAGCACCGTCGAACACCAACCTGTTGATAGAGCTCAGTGTCTTTATCACGAAGAGTAGAGATCACTCCTTGCAAAGCAGCGCTGAGATACGACGAAGTAGTCATTGTGCTAGCCAAAGGTTTGTGAGGAGGCCGTTCATGAATGGTGCAAATTGTTGGACGAGGGGGAGCACGCGGTGGAACAACAATGTTATTTTGTGTTGTTACTCCAAGAATGTTGTGAAGAGTTGGAGGAGACTTGTGAGCTTTGAGTACATAGTAAAGGTAAGGTAGGGTATCGGTGTGGGTGTAACCCCAATGGTGATTCCACACTGCATGTGGTCAAGGACATCAGCAACGGACTCTTGAGGACGAGTATAAGTGGGACCGTCCAAAGGGGTAGAGAGATGAAACAAATACCAATTCTTGCAGCAAATTGCCAATTTGTGTGATGTTTTGTCCACAGGGACAATGGCAAAGTGTTGTTGAAGATGGTGCAAGGAGGCATGTGTAGAACAGAGTGACCGTGGCTGGCTCACATGATTGGAGAACGAAGATGCATTGGATTGACAATGCGCAAGGACTRAAGAACGCCAACTGTCAACTTCTGAGAAAGAGACGAGAAAGAAGTTGATCGAGAATGTCCGACCAACAACCTTTTGTAATTGGCAATGTACTCGTCTAGTCCAATTGCCAGTACCTGGAGCACATCGACAGTTTCGCGATTCAACCGATACTTCGAGCCTTCTTGAAAAAGCTT